AACCCTAGCACTTTGGAAGGTCAAGGTGGGAGGATCGCTTGAGACCAGAGTTCACGACCAGCCTCAGCAATATAGTGAGACTTTGTCTCTACAAAAAAAAATTTAAAAATCAAAAATCAGCCAGGTGATGTAGTGCAGAACTATAGTCCTAGCTATTTGGAGGCTGAGGCTGGACAAAAATTGCTTCACCCAGGAGTTCAAGGTTACAGTGAGCTATGATTAGCTACTGGACTACAGTCTGTGAGACAGAACAGGACTCTGTCTTTAAAAATTGTTTTAAAAAATAAGGCTGGGCACGGAAGCTCATGCCTGTAATTCTAGCACTCTAGGAGGCTGAGGCAAGAGGATCTCCTGAGCTCAGGAGTTTGAGATTAGCCCAAGCTCTGAGCCCTAGCCCTGAGCAAGAGCGAGACCCTGTCTCTAACTAAATATAAAAAAAACTAGCCAGGTGTGTTATCGAACACCTGCAGTCCCAACTACTCAAATGGCTGAGGCAGGAGGATCACTTGAGCCCAGAAGTTTGAGGTTGTCGTGAGCTAGGCTGACACCATGGCACTCTACCCCATGTGCCAAAAATAATAATAATAATAAAATTAAATAAATAAATAAACTTTGACTTCATTTTGAGATAAAGCAGGCTGAAATAACCAGCAGGAGATGAATTCCACCAGGAACAGCATGTAAAAGATGAAGGGGTCACATCTTCACACTATGACTATTTAGTGGGCAACAGAATGAGTTTTCACACTAGAAGAAAATACTTAACTTCAAGTGAAAGCAATATATATGTACAAGTTTAAATAAAGTATTATGTTATCCATGCCACAAATGCCTTTATTATCGGAGGTAACTGAGAACTGCTTTCAAGTTCTATCTTAATCGTCTAAAATAAAATGTTGAACAATTACTGGTCATAAACAAGGGGAATGATTTGCTCATTCTTTGAATATCAAGTACTACTGTAAAAACCCTTCAGTAATTTCCTCCTGATGGAGGAGTTAAAGATATTAGAAATATGGTATAGTAAGTTAGCAATAAAACTCAGGAAATGGAAAATCACTGTTTGTTGGGGGGCGGGGGGGAGGTCTTCAGCAACATAGAGAAAATAATTTTACCACCAACACACCACCCTAAACCATGCCAGGGGATATAAAATCAGCTTGAAAAGACAGTAGAGGAAAAAATACATGCATCAATAACTAAGAAAGTTTTGAAAAAAAATGGTTATTACAATTCAATTAATTTTAGCCATTAATTGAGCAAAAAAATCATCAAATGGGTAAAGCTGACACACTCCTCACAAAGTTGCTGCCTGCTCACATACTATATAGACAACAAAGCACAATGAAGCTAGTTTATTTTGGTAACCTAGGCACAACTAGAATGCTATACAAACCTAGCGAAATACGCTGCCTTTTAATATCCCATCCTAAGATATGAAAAATTATTCCAGGAAATGAAAAGATGAGTAAAAGTAAAATATCATAAAAATGCTATAAAATACACATTACTGTATGTATTTTTAAAATTATCAAAAGCAGATTTGTTTTTTCAATTAAAAATATTTTATTTCATTGTCACCATTTAAAAATAATTTTTATATATCCTAAATACTAAAGCCAGCTCAGAAACAAGTCTACCTCCCATTCTGAATTAATCATTGATATACAA